TGTGTCCAGGATACCTGCAGGGAACAGAAAAAAAGAGGAGAGTGGCAAGAGTTAGTTAGATGCAGATGGCACGTTTCTTCTTGCTTTTCTCTCTGGCTGGGTAGTGGTTGATGGTGGCAGGGCTGAACAGGAGTTGAACACCTCCATCCAGAGACCACAAGATACAGATCAGAGCTTGTCCTTGGGGCAGAGAAACTGCCTGTTCCTAGGAGGAAAACAGATCCTTTTTGGGTGCCAGATCCAGTCCTCTGCCATTTGACCTGAATGCAGACACTGCCAGGGACACTGCTCTGCCAATGCAGGTTGATAAAATCCTCTCCCCACCTCAGATCCTGCTCTTAGACCAATTGTTTGCTTTCATCCTGAATAGACTTGCAGACTCACATGAGGAGCTGCAGCTCTGGGTGTAATGTGGAATTTTTATCACTGCAATGCAAACAGAGACCACGCTTGGCAGGAGACACACAGACCGATGTAAGTGTCCTCCAGTCCCTGTCAATTACCCTCTCAAGACTGATCATCAGTCTTGGAGTGCCTTGAAAAAAATTGCTTGGAGTATATTTTATCCTATTTCATTGGCAGAAAAGTTGCAGATCAGGGCGCAGAACCTTCACCATAAGAACAGATCCAGAAAAGTATAGTATTTACATCTAAAAGGACTTGTAATGCTATGCAATAGTCTCAAATTATGCAGATTTATCTGAAATATGATGAACAGGTCTGGCTGCCTGAACTCCTAAAGAAACTTGCAGAATTGCGTATTTAGGGATCTGGAAACTCTAGCAATGGGGTAGGGGAAGACTTTTTTTTTTAAAGGAGATTGAGACTTTGTTAGGAGAAAAAAAAGAGACACAGAAAGAGGACCTGAACATGTATAGCCTGGTGAACAGCACTGACTGGGAAAGATACAGCTTCTGCTGTGTGTTGTACAACACAAGATAAAAAAGGTGTTACACAAAGAAGGAAAAAGGCTTATGACACATTTCCTGATCAGAGAAAAGCAACTCGACTGCAACAAAATTCAGGAAGGGATTGGACATTTGCATACAAGAACAGTCAGTGCTGTTACACTTCACTTGTGGGGAAAGAGTAAGCATCCTGCCTCCCAGCTTTGGTCTTAAGTCCTAAAACTCAGTGCACAGAAACTATCCCACGCGTATCTGCTGCCCTATCTTCTGACCTCTAAAGCTAGTGCAGGTCATTTTTGGGTTGGAAACCAGCACAGATGGCCTCAGGTGAGATACAAACGGTCCATCCTTTCCCTCAGAGACAGCAAAAAGCAGCTCCTCCTCCCCCAGGATATGGCTTCATATCTCCCTTGCTTACCTTCTACCACCTTGTGGTAAGCAAAGTGCAGATAGAGGAGGAAAAGCATATGCAGAGCAGCAAGGGTCCCACACAGGATGAGCCGCTGGGTGTGCCCCACGGTGCGTGACACCAACACAGCAACCTAGGAGAGAGGTGGAGATGAGATACAAGGAAGTTGCTACCTGAGCCTCTAGCATTGCAGTCAGCAGCACACAGGAGGATGGGCCAAATAGTGAGAGCCAGTGGAAACACTGCTCACAGCCTTTCTTGCAGTTTGTGCCAACAAATTCGGAGTAATCTGACTTTTTGTCATGTAGGTGAACCTTTCCCAGCCTCACCAAGAGCGTGGGATGCTCAGGCACAATTCTCCACAGCAGCAGGGCCTGTAAGGGACCAAACCTCCTGCAACTGTTAGAATGGGTGAGGATATTCATCCAGGCATCACCTCCATACACTGGTGGCCAAATGACCCAGGAGCATCAGGCTGTCCTTCACAGCAGCCTGACTGGCTGTGAAATTAACTGCCAGGCCCAAGGAACAGATAGCAAACATCACATCCCTCCCTTTTCTTGTCCCCAGAAGAGGAAGGCCCCAGGCTGCCTGTCCCTTACCATTCGTAGTGTAGAGAGTCCACCAACACCCAACCAGAAGATATAAAAAAGGGAGTGGAAGTGGATATTATAGGTGACAAAAAGAGTGATGCAGTGTCCAAAAAGACCGTAGCCCTGACAAAACAAAAATATTCACGTTACAAGCGTCAGTGCCATACAAAATGCCATTGATCAAGAGCATGAGCAGCCTATTCCCACAATGCTTCACCATGGCAAAGCTTCACAAACCACTCATTCAATGTCAACGCCAAAGAGTCAACCAGCACAATTTTAACAGCAGCTCACACCCAAATATCTGTCTGAAGGATTCACAGGGATGTCAGAGATTGCAACAACTTGGAAAACAGAGGACAGAGCCTCCGATTCCATAGAAATTGGAATCTCCTGGTTTCTTTACCACCAGGCTCTCAGATCACAAAGGGCAAAGCAGGAGACCTGCATGGAAGAACTGCCTTTTTGTGCTACCGCTGTGCCTGGGATGGGGCAGGTCAGAGGATCCTGGAATTCCAGGTTGTACCAAGTGCAGTTACTTGGGACCACTGATTTACGAGGACTTTCCCTGTTATCTGAGAAGAGCTTGTGCTGCAAGATCGTGCAGCTAACCCACACCCTGGGGTGGCTCCATTTGTACGTACCAACAGCGAGAGCATCTGCACCATCGTGATTTGGGCATTGCACAGATATGCCAGGAAATAGATGAAAGAGGAGACGCCCAACCAGTAACCGAAGCAGGTGCCAATGGCTGTGCCCATCAGTGTGCCTTCCCTCTGTGGAGACAGCATCAGGATGAGAAGGACTCAAAGAAGTGACCTGCCAGCACCCAAATTCCACCTCAGAGTCCCAGAGCCTTTCTAGGCATTATCAAATAGCTGGCTAGCAGCATTCAGGGTGCCACATGGCCTACACCCCAACTCTCCCAGCAGCAAAGCATCAAGACTTTCTGATGAGTCCTTCCTCTCATCCCCAAATGAACAGGTTCCTCCTCAAATCCATGCGCTTTTCAGCAAGATGCTATTCAGTCACGGAAGAGGTTCCCTGTCATTATAGCAATCCAGAGCTCAGTTACACCACAACTTATTGCAAAGACTTGACGTACAATGATGGTGTCCGAGGTCTTCATTCCATGCAAAAGGATGGCCACCAGTGTGAAAACAAGCATAAGGGGTCCATATAGCTCGCCTGCAATCTTCTACAAGAAGAGACAGATCAGGGAAAGCTTGGTTAGTGCTCCTGAATACCAGGCACCCCACCCCAAGTGATGCAAGAAGTGCCTTGGATGATGTTTATCACCTTGCTGCCTGAGAAAGAACAGCAAGGCCACTGCTGACAGAAGCTAGGCAGAATAGGTTGGGTGATGAGGAGTTTGGGATGTGTGAAGTCTGGAACTGTAGCAGCACCAAAGGTAGCACAACGAAGTTTGGAACAACCACAGCGAAGGGTTCACCAACGTTTTCAGGGAGATAAACACCTAACAGACTCAGGTCCTTAATCATATGAACTACTTTACTTATACAAGATGCCTGTGGAGCATTCACTTGGCCACGGAGACTGATTCAGCACCAGGGAACTCACCTGTGGGAAATTAATCATCTTCACAGGAATCATGGACTCCAGCAGCCTGCATCACAGCAAAGCAGGGAATGACACCAGGAGCAGGGAGGACAACAGGATGGTTAACAAAATGCTTCTAAAGTAAGAAATCCCATACACCCATTACCAGTGTTTTCTGCTGTGGTCATAGGCCCTGAGGGACAGAGATTCCTTCTAAAGGGTCACAAAGGGTAACTAAAGGAGAAGAACCTTACTGGGTTAATTCTGCCAGGGGGATTCAATGAAAACGTTTAGGGATCCACTGGGGGTGAGAGCTCCTTGAGAGAGCAGCAGGAAGGAAAGGCTCCTTTCTTCATCCAGCCGCACAAAACTTTGCCTTTTTGGACACAGCTGTGTTGCAAGCCCAACAGAAGCCACGTAAGGCAGCTGAGCACTAAAAGGGCTGAAGATGCCCCAAAGCCCCTTTTTCTGCCCTGCGCAGCAACACAGAGTGACAGGTGACAGGGCTACCAGCCCACCTGGGGGACCTCCTTAAGGACAGTGGGGAAAAAGCACAGTTTGTTTCCCCGTAGCTGAGCCCTGCTGCGAGGCTGGCAGCCCACCCCGGCGTGCTCCCTTGGGTGCCGGGGGAGCAGCCAGTCCCCCCCACGCTGGCAAGAGGCCGCTGTCCCCTCCCCGGTTCCTTCCCCGGCTGGGCCCTGCCCACCTGGCTCGCACTTGGACAGGCTCCACGTCGAAGTAGGGCCGGAGGATGTCGATGTTGGCGTAGAGGCTGAAGGCCCTGGAGGCTTGCCTCTTCCCCACCTGCCACATCTGCGGGGAGAAGGGAGGTGGCAGCGGCCGGCCGGGGCCCACCGGGGCTGGGGGCGGCGGGGGCCCGCACTCACCTGGTCGGCCACCTGCCGGCCCAGCTGCCCCCGCAGCCCCTTCATGCCCAGGAACTCCCCGTCCTCCTCCTCGGCGGCCCCTGCCTCGCCCTCCTCTTCCTCCTCCTCCTCCTTCATGCGCTGGTGCATCTCCCCCATGTCCTCGAAGCTGGAGCCCGACGTGTCGTCCATGTTCTCCATGTCGATGACGGCGGAGCCGCCACCCTGCGCCGGGGCGAGACAGCTCGGTCAGCGCCCGCTCGGCCCGGCCCCACCGCACCGCCGCCACCCCCGGCCCGGCCCCACCTGCATGTTGTCCTCGAAGCCGCCCCAGTCGGCGGCGGTGCCGCTCCTGCCGCCGCCCGCCGCCGCCCCCGGCGCGGACATGGTCCCCGGCCCGGCCCGCGCCGCGCTGGCTGCTACCGCTCACCCGGATGTGACGTCGGCGGCGGAGCGGTCCCTACACTCTCGCGAGGGAGAGCCGCCGTGGCCGCCATCTTGTGTGTGGCGGAAGGCGGGGAAGGGCGCAGCAGGGGCGGGGAACGGCAAGACAGCCCGGCGGGCGGCGACGCGGACGGGATGCGCCGCTGCAGGGACGCCGGTCCCGCCGGCTGTCGGTGGGGGAACGCCGCGCTCCGCGGGGGGAGCGGCCAGGCCACGCGTGGGCGGGCAGAGGCCCGTCACGTGGCGGGGAGCGCCGCCCCCCCTTTCACCGCCCCCCGCTGGCGATGGCGGCGGCCATGGCGGCCAAGCGGCGCACCGACGAGATGCGGGACCGCGTGGTGCTGGGCGAGTTCGGCGTCCGCAACGTGAGCGGGGCGAGGCGGGACGGGGTGTGGGGTGAGGCGGTTTGAGGCCCCCCTCTCTCCCGCCTGCCAGGCCCCTCATGGCGCCGCCTCTCCACCTCCTCGCAGGTCCACACCACAGACTTCCCCGGCAACTACCCCGGCTACGAGGACGCTTGGGACCAGCGGCGCTTCGAGGAGGTGGGTGAGGGCCGCCGGCGGCTGGGGCGGTGGGTGGGAGCGGTTGTGTGTATGTGTGTGTATGGGGGTGTCCCACGCGCGGAGCCCGGCGTGACCGGCGGCGCGTGGCCCTTGCAGGAGTTCCGCGTGGACGTGATCCGCGAGGAGGAGGGCGCGCTGGAGTTCGACATGGTGGGCATCGACGCCGCCATCGCCAACGCCTTCCGCCGCATCCTGCTGGCCGAGGTAGGGCGGCGGAGGAGGTGGGGGTGGGCAGGGACTGAGGGTCGGCGGGGCCGTGCGGGGAGGGCGCGGGGGCGCCTGCCGAGGAGCGGGGAGGACTGGCGTGATGGGGGGCGGGGGGGGCCCTGCATTAGGTTGACCCTTGCGGGCAGCTTCTGGGTTTGGAAGAGGGCTACAAAGATGATCAGGGGCCTGGAGCATCTCTCTGATGAGAAAAGGCTGAGGGACTTGGGTCTTTTTAGCCTGGAGAAGAGAAGACTGAGGGGGGATCTGATCAACACATACAAATACTTAAAGGGTGGGTGTCAAGAGGAAGGGGCCAGTCTTTTTTCAGTGGTGCTCAGCCTCCAGGACTAGAGGAAGCGGGCACAAACTTGAACATAAGAAGTTTCATTGAAACATGAGGAGGAACTTCTTTACTTTGAGGGTGACAGAGCACTGGAACAGGCTGCCCAGAGAGGTGGTGGGGTCTCTGTCTCTGGAGACACTGAAAACCCGCCTGGACACGTTCCTGTGCAGCCTGCTCTAGGTGGACCTGTTTTGGCAGAGGGGTTGGACTAGATGATCTCCAGAGGTCCCTTCCAACCCTGTATCATTCTGTGATTCTGTGAATTCGTTGTGCGCCTGTGTCAGGTGCCCAGAGAGACTTAGGGCCTTAGTAGCATAGAGTTAGGGCCTTAGTAGCATGAGTGATGGTGCCTGTTGCTCTTAAAGGGTGTTGTTGGTAGTGTCTGTGGATTAGCCTGACCATCGCTTCTCATGGTAATTCCCTTTTTTACAAAAAAAAAAAAAAAAAAAGAAAGAGGGAAGGGTGTATTTTTGGTGTAAGGGTATACTGGGTAGCCAGATTTGGCAGAAATAACACTGATTATTATTTATGGGGGAGAAGAGACACTCTAGCTGGATATTCTGTTGGCATGTAGCTCAACTGTCATCTTATGCTGACTTTATCTCTTTTCTCCTTGAGGTGCCAACAATGGCTGTGGAGAAGGTCTTTGTGTACAACAACACATCCATTGTGCAGGATGAAATTCTTGCTCATCGCTTGGGCCTCATCCCGATCCGAGCTGACCCTCGACTCTTCGAGTATAGAAACCAAGGTGAGAATCTTGGATCTAATAGAAATATTGAATGTTTACTCCAGAGTAGGAAATCAGGGTTGCGTAAACGAAGCAAAAGTGTGATTGCATAGAGGCTCATGCTGTTCTCCCCTTCCCAGGAGATGAAGAAGGCACAGAAATTGATACTCTGCAGTTCCAGCTGAAAATAAAATGCAGCCGAAACCCTCAGGCAGCCAAGGAATCATCTGATCCTAATGAACTATATTTCAATCACAAAGGTGAGATCTCTCCTAAAAATAGGTGCCATTTTTTTCTTTTTTGGTCTTGGGAGACAGGATTTGGACTGTTCTCTCATCCCTGTGAGTAAAGAGAGCTGATTCTCTCATCCTGCAAAATAAATTTTTTGCCGTCTCCAGTCCTGTACAGGTCAGCAACCTGTTTTGAGACAGCAGCTGGCTGATGCTTGTGGCTTCTCTTCCCAGTGTACAGTAAACATATGACGTGGGTGCCCTTGGGGAATCAGACAGACCTCTTTCCAGAGGCTGACTTCCGACCTGTTCATGATGACATCCTCATTGCACTGTTGCGGCCTGGCCAGGAAATAGATGTGCTTATGCACTGTGTCAAGGGTATAGGTGAGTTGTGGGTCCTGGGGCAGCGGAAGGAGCAATGTGAGTGCTTGGACTACAGCACAGCTGTGCAAAGGGGAAGGGTGGAGAAATGGCTTTCTCCCTGGAACTTTAGGCCCTGGCATCCTTGCACTCTTGTTCTCTGAGGTCTGCCCTCATCCTTAACTCTAACTCTTTGCGCAGGTAAAGATCATGCCAAGTTTTCTCCTGTGGCCACGGCTAGTTATCGACTGCTTCCTGACATTACTCTCCTGCAGCCTGTTGAGGATGAGGCAGCTGAGCTGTTGCAGAAGTGCTTTTCCCCTGGAGTCATTGAAATCCAGAACATCAAGGGTACTGTTTTTTACTGCTCTAAAGTTCCTTACAAGCCGTAGCAGAGACTGATGAGAGACTAGAGCCAAACCTTGTAGAGACAAAACCACATTGTGGTGTTTTGCTGATCAGCAACTGTTCATGCTATTCTGAGCCTGATTTTACGGATGAGTAGCTGTCACAAGCGGATGGGTTGGGTGATGAACTGAACTGGGATCTCCCTGAAATGCTAAGGCGTTGGGTGTCTACCTGCAGAGCCCTGCAGCTGCTGACTGCAGCTTCCAGTACTGCTCAGTTGTCGGTAAGACTGGGTAGTGAGCTTGCTCTTTCCAGCAGTTGGGTGTGGAGAAGACTTCTTGTGTCCTGTCCAGGGATACACACAAGCTTTGTGTTTGGGTTGGAACTGTTCAAGAAGACCAGGTCTGTCAGGCTGGAGTTTCATGTTGGGGATGTGCTAATTCTTTATATTGGTAGCTTTGCTGCCTTTGCTGATGTGGGAGTGCACATTTGAGGGGTAAGCACCACAAGGCACTCATCTGCTTTTATCTTTTTCTCTTTAGGAAAAAAGGTGGCAAGAGTAGCTAATGCACGGTTGGACACGTTCAGCAGAGAAGTTTTCCGTCATGAGGGTCTGAAAAACCTTGTGCGCCTGGCAAGAGTGCGGAACCATTACATCTGTAAGTGCCCCATTTCCCACAGGTCGTAGAGCCCTGCTGTGGTTTGTGCAGACAAGCTGGGCCCCTGCCTCCCACTCTCCCCCCGCATTATCAGCATTCATACGTTCATGTTCCAGTGGGTAACTGGAACGGAAGTCATCGTGCCTCTGTACTCGGCACTGGTAAGGCCTCACCTCGAGTACTGTGTTCAGTTTTGGGCCCCTCACTACAGGAAAGACATTGAAGTGCTGGAGCGTGTCCAGAGGAGAGCCACCAAGCTGGTGAGGGGCCTGGAGAACAAGGCATATAAGGAGAGGCTGAGGGAACTGGGCATGTTTAGTTTGGAGAAGAGGAGGCTGAGGGGAGACCTCATTGCCCTCTACAACTACCTGAAAGGAGGTTGTAGAGAGGCAGGTGTTGGCCTCTTCTCCCAAAGGACGAACGACAAGACCAGAGGAAATGGTCTGAAGTTGCGGCAAGGGAGATTTAGATTAGATATTAGAAAGAACTACTTTACTGAGAGAGTGGTCAGGCACTGGAACAGCCTGCCCAGGGAGGTGGTGGAGTCACCATCCCTGGAGATATTTAAGAAACGTATAGACATGGCTCTTCAGGGCATGCTCTAGTGCCCAAGGTTATTGGTTTATGGTGAGGTGTTGAGTGTGGGGTTTAGTTGGTGGGTGCGGGGTTTCTGGTGGGTGTTTGGTGTGGTGTGTTTTGTATTTGTTTGGTTGGTTTTTTTTGTTTTTTTTTTTTTTGTGGTTGGACTCGATGATCTCAGAGGTCCCTTCCAACCACTAAGATTCTGTGATTCTGTGATTCTGTAACTACTGAGGTGTTGCTTTGGGATTGAATGTGTTTGTGCTTCCTCTGGCAAATGTAACCTCCTCTCCTCTGGCTGTGAAGATCTGGCTTGTCAGGGGTGCGGTGTAGGGGAAGATGAGGGACAGAAATGCTGAAGCCAGGTGTAGGCCAAGGCTGCCTAGTGGCTGGGCTGACTCATGTCTTCTGTGCAGTTTCAGTGGAGTCGACGGGTATCTTGCCTCCAGATGTGCTGGTGAGCGAAGCCATCAAGATCCTGATGGGAAAGTGTCAGCGCTTCCTGAATGAGCTGGACTCTGTGCCTATGGAGTGATCAGGCTGTAGCTGGGAAGCGTCTCCCTGCACTGCTGTTCTGGGCCTCCTGTGTCTGCCTGCAGGGGTGGTTCCTCTTCCATTGGCAAGAGGTTTGAGATGGACTTGTTGAGTCCTAGGCCCATCTCTTTGAATTTGTTTTCTGTTGGTAACGAGCCTCAGTGAGGAGATGCACTAAAATAAAGGCTTTTCTTTACAGCTGTCTCCTTCTGTGCTGCTCACAATTGTGAGACTGTAATACACAGAGAAGACTGTGCAGCAGGTCTAAAGGTGAATAATAGCATTTTACATTGCATGCAGTATGTGAAGAGGAGTGACATGGCAGTGTGCTAAAGCACTTCGCAGCAGGTCAGTAAGAGTGAACAAGTCGGTGTCGGTGCAAGGTTGTTTTGCGAGTGTCTCAAACCAGCTCTGGGGTAGTTAATGTGGTATGTAAAAGGATGTACTGTTAGAGGGCTGGGACACCTCTCCTATTAAGAAGGGGTTAGAAGTGTGCAAGGTCAGGTTGGACTCAACTATGAGCAACCTGATCTAGTGAAAGATGAACCTGCCCACAGCAGGGGGTTGGCCTAGAGAGTCTTTGACAGGTCCTTCCAGCCCAAACCATTCTATGATTCTCTATCATAGAATTCTCTATATCTCAGAGTACTGGCATTCTCTGTGCAAAGATGGGGTTAAAAAACATGGTTCTGTAAGGACTGACTGCCCTTTCTTAAATAGCTCAAGGTAAGGTGTTTCTTCCCAGGTGTGAGAGTTGACTACTCTGTTCTCCCTTTCAGTGCCCTGTACTTTGGGCAGAACTGGACGGTGGAGGGCAAGTGCCAGTCAAAGGCCTGTCTCCACACAGGGAAGCTGGGAGCACTCCCAAGTTAGTTGCAGTGGTGAGCAGTACTGCAGTCAGCACCGGGTAGGTCCTGGCATGTGATAGTCTCTTTACAAGCTGATGAAGGAACTGGAACTGCAGAGAATGGCTGGGAGTACTGGTGTGTCCCAGCAGGAGGCTACTTTAGTAGCATGTGCAGGTTTCTGTGTTACTCCTTTGCACATTTCCCATATTGCTTATGGGACTTACCCAGGAACAGCCCTGCCAAATGTTTCTTTCACTTTGGCAACATGTACCCTTCAACCTGTAAACTGGGACCTAGCAGCTGTTGTGGAATTAACATAAACCAGCTCTGAGTGACATATTATTACTTTTTAAATGGAATTTTCCCCTTGCCTTCTAATTTAATAACATAGTCTGGCATGGTTCATCTCCTCCCTGATAATGTATTGTGACTACCAGTAAAGATGTCCCTTTTTGGTAGCTGGAATAAGGAATGCTGAATGCTTAGGAAGGCAGTGCGGGCAGAGCAGAGGGCTCAGATCTTACTGAAACAGATACAAGAATAAAAATGAAACCATGACACCACATGTATGAAACTGGAATAGCTTTACTGACATTCAGAGGTGTAACACAACCAGTTCAGAGACAGCTTTGGATTTAAACATTCCTACAAAAAAGGTTCTAAAAACCATTTAAAAAAAAACCCCTTGTGTCTAGCATGAAGTCACAGAATGTTAAAAATATCACAAGACAATAAATACACCCAGCCTTTGCTAGAGCCAGGAACCATGTTAGGTCAGAGGTTAAAAAAGTTTGAGGCCAGGAGGAAAGTGGAGGCTGCTGGTGGAACAGCAAGGGCAGGAGGGCAAGTGGATTCCCACAGCCTGCTTGTCCTTTCTGTGCTCTCACCCCTCCCAACCCCAGCTTTTCTGTCCAGTCTGTCCCAGCAGAGACACCACCTTCTCCACCCACCACAGTTTATTACCTGTTTTATCCCCTGGATGGCAAAACTGCGAGCTAGCTCTGGACAGACCCTCCCAACTCCTCTGCTAACACTAGGTTAGATTGAGCGAACCATTTGCCATCTAAGAAGAACCAGCTTTGCAGACTGGAGTGGTTTGACAGAGTCCCACCTCATCTGAAACCCAGTTTCTGACCTGGCTCTGCACCCCCTGCAAACTGCATAATAAACCCCACCCCTCCTGCCCCACCAGGCAATTCTCCCAGAAGTACCAGGCTGGGTAAAAACACAGGCTACTGTCACCTCCACAGCAAGAGAGTGAGGAGATCCCTTTTGGTTTGCAGATGCTTCGGATATTGGTCCAGATTTTGTGTACCCTGCACTGGCCATGTTCTAGTCTACAGGGCATGATAAAAAGAAATAATAATTAAAAAAACCTAAATCTTTCCTGCTCCCCCTGAGAGATGTCCAAGAAAGGCTGGCACAAAGTAAAAGCCTTCTATTTGGCTCTGGGTAGAACAAGCTGTATGATCCTCTCTATATACATTATGCATGTATATATAGGTATGACAGTGTCTGCCTCCTAGAGAGCAGCTGCACCTTAAGAAGGCTGATCTCGAGGGAGATCCTAGAGCACTGCTGGGTGTCCTGGCACACAGCCCCCAGCTCTGCATCCTGCAGGGAAACGGATTCATCAGAATACCAGTCTGCTAGGGACGGGTGCCGACAGGCACGGCGGGAGTGTCCGATGTGTTCCCTACACAGCCTGGCTACTAGCCCCCAGAGGAAGATGAGGCTAGCTCCTTTTCACATGGCGCACTACTCTGCCTTTTGCATTAATCCTAAACCCCAAGGGATGAAGCAGTGGAGCAAGAGTGACCCAAGGCTACAAGATGACCAGGCTTTACCTAACGGAGTCTGTGGGCTCAGCTCCCACCTTGCAGAGAAGCAGAGGCCTAAAGATGCTCATCCAGTGGAGGGGAGGGGAAGGAATTAGGAAAAGCTTAATAGACTGATTCAAATGCCACTGCAGGCCCCATCCCAGTGTAGGGAGGAGAATGGGACAGGACCCGTAAAGGGGCTTTATTCAGACGAACGCTTGTGGAGGTGGTGACAAGGAGAATCTAATGTGCTTACTATGAGGAGAGACGAAATTTAAGGTCGGGGAGGAGAAGGTTGCAGCATCCCAAGCTCAGGGCTCAAAGAGTGCGTTGAGGCCTTCCCCATCCTCGTTTTCTAGCACGTCTGTCTCCAGTGATGGCTTCACCATTTTGAAGAGAGATGGGAGGTTCCGGATATGAACCTCCTTGCGGAACTGCTCCCCAAGGGGCTTCTGCAGAGGACAGACAGGCAGACATCAGTCATTACTGCCTTCACAGCCCCACTCAGCTCAGAGGCAGATCCCAGATTCTGAGCAATACCTAGGCCCACCCCCGACACTTGCATTTTGGGGAATCTTGGGCCTGGGCCCTCCCAAGTGCACTGAGGTAACCACCAGTGCACCAATTCCCCAGCTCCTAACTCAGTGGCACCAGGCTCCAATGCTACCCTTCTCACAAAAGCCCAGCACCCACCTAGTAGCTTCGCTCAAACATTTTAGCACCCTGTTTCCCCGGGCACCTCTGTGCAAGGTACCCCCTGTCTCTCCTTAAGAAGTCATTGGGCTGCTCAGGAGGGGCTGCTCAGTCTGTGGTGCCACCCCTGCTGTACCTCCAGGGTGAAGAGAGACAGAACAAACACTGAGAATATGCCACAACGGCTTCCTGGCTGGGAATGGGGGTGGGCTGGGGAGAGGCAGGCAGGCTGGCTGCCCCGTCACTTCTACAGGGTACCAGCTGAAACACAACAGGTTCATTTTCCTCCAGGATATCACCTACCCCAATGCAACCTGTGATGAGGCGCTTGAAATGATCCTTCCGGCGCTTGTCTGCCACCTTCTGCAGTGTTGGGTTAAGAAGCTTTGAATCAAACTGCTCCAAAGAGTCCCTCTGGATATCTGGGACCTGCTCCATCACTGCCTTCAGCTCAGCATAGCGAGGGCGCTGCAGGGAGAAGTACAGTTACCACAGCTCTGCTAGAGGAACCCTGCCCTCCTTGGGGGGCAGTTAGCTCCTCTATCCCTAACCAAGCAGGTATGGGATTAGTTTTCCACCACTCCCCAGCCAACCTGGCATCTGGACAAAGAGCAGAATTTCTCACCAAGGCCTCGTAGATCTGGAAAGCCAGGTGGACAAGAGCTGCCATGCAGCCATCGTGCTGCCCGTGTATCTGTAAGCCCTTCAGCACACTTGTGAAAAACCAGGACACGGCATCGGGCAGGAGGTTTCCTGGAAGCACCTGGGGAAGAGGCACTGTCAGCACGGAAGCAGGATACTGATACATGACTGCCTTTGTGCAGCAGCTTGGTCTTCCCGTGGGAGAAGGTGCCCAGGGATGAAGCAACCACATTTCTCACTACATTCAGAGCTTCCTCTCCCAATCCTGCCAGAACTAATCCCTTCTTCCTCCCAGAGGTACCTGTTTGAGCAGCGGCCAGCAAAGCTGTGTTGTGGTTCTTTGGCAGGACAAGGTATCCTTCCAGGAGAGGGATGTGTAGGCAGTGATCAGCAGCGCGGTGCAAACATCCTGAAAAAAGGGGTATAGAGGGAAAAATCAGAGGAACTATTTCCCACCTACAGGGTTCATACCTGAAGGGAGCCAAGAAGAAACCCAGGGAGTCTGCAGGAGCTCCTTGGAGCCATCTGCTGAGAATCCTGTGTGCTGCTGATCCAGCTGAAGGTGCTCAAAAGCACCCAGTGTGCACCATCATAGCCATGAAGCTTCATCAAGCAAACCTGCTCCCTTCATCACCCATGGACTCCCATCAGCTGCTACTCTCAAGTCAGTGCAAAAGTTTATGCAAAAGCTTCTGAGGGGTCCACAGGAGAGGAGGAGTATAGAGGTATCAGGATGAAGGTACTCTGCACAGTGGATTGTATTAACACTTTGGCTCCTGTGCCAGCTCTGGCAGATTTTACAGGAAAAAAAAAAAAAAAAAGAGCTGCTGGATGAAGTTCTTCCTTGTGAAGACTGGCGCCTAGGTGGAGGCAGAGCCAGGGAGCACCTTGGGGGCCGAATGCCCAGGGCCTCACCCACAGAAGGGCTGAAACTCTGTGGCTGCATTTTATGCTGGATCTCAGCCCCCATGTGCTTTGTGGCTTCTGCAACCATTAACAAGGCCCTTAAAAACCACATATGTTCCCAAGAGAAGATTGTCACACTGGGGAATGCTCCAGCAGCCTATGTCTCTGTAGCAACATCTGGCTGCACCCAAAACAAATGTGACAAGGAGTACAGAGAAAGTATGGTGGAAGTCAGAGCATGGGCTCTTACCTCCTGCTTCATCAGACACTTGCCGAGCTCGGTGAGCTC